AAAATCAATATAAATTTTTATTGTAATACATGTACATGTACCTTGTGCTAGTCTTACAAGACTCTCCAATAGACGTATTGTAGTTCTGGCAGCATTAAGAGTATCAGTTTGACGTTGAAGCTGATAATATCTGGATAAAACCCTGAAAGCATAAACGTAAAGCATAAATTGGGAAAATTAAATAATCATTTGGGAAAAATTCTGTGCTATTTTACATGTATCTTAGCAGTTCTAACGTTATTATTATTAACTAAGCAAAATTCTGCTTTTAGCCATTAAGATAAAATAACATTATTTATAGCAGTCCAAATTTCCCAATAATAATTATGGTATTTTGACAGGTAAAATACTTGTTTGATAGACTACATTTGTACCAGTAACGTTACACAATATTGATGGTTCTTACTGGTTAGCTGGTTCAGTCATTACTGGTTTTAATGATTTCACATAGCTTAGGTAAGACTTCAGTTGCTCAATACTCCACAGGTTATTATCTAATGAAAATAAAGACAATTATACTTTAACATGTACATGCACATGTCAGTGTGCTATTACAGTTAAGGCAGCATAGTATTATAGTAAAATACTACACATAGCGTATAGCGGGTAAATTTGGAGGGGCTAAATTTTGGCGAATTGCTAAATTTTGGTGATTGGTGGTTTTTAATTTGGCAAATTTGTGGTCACGTGCCATTGAGCATGCGTATAATGGCTCAAAATGGTGGATTTTTATTTTCATGAATGGCTATCAAAACGCTAAATTTGCCAAATTTAATCCCCTCCCAAAATTTCCCGCTATACGGTATGTGCTAAAATCATCTAATTTTTAAGGTGCTCATTCCAAATTATATTAACCAGCAAAATTCATTAGCAAAATGAAAGTATTAATTATATATTACCTTTATCATTCATGCTATCTTTTCTTGACAACACGAATGACGAAACAAATCTAAAAATAACAAAAACCATATTCCACAATAAATTAGATACTGTATACTGGGATATCTTCGTGTTGCTAAATTTTTTGCAAATTTTGCATTTGTAAGATTTCACGAAATAATAAATTTCGTGAATAGCTTGTAAACTCCACCATGTGGCAATGTAAATTCAGAATTTCACGATTTTTATTTTCATGACGGAGCAAGAAAACGTGAAATCAGCGAAAATTTGGCTACTCGAAAATTTCCCAGGATACTGCATGGCCACAGTTGCCTGTAAGGCTAATGCAGTGTAAACTGGTGTGTGTCTGTTGTGTGTGTGAGCTATAACTGACCGGTCCCATTCCTCATTATAACTATCAAGTAATACCAGTACAACATCAAAACGACTCATCAGTGGACTAGCCAATGCAACATTAATACCTGTACTCTAACAAGAATAAAAGAAGAGAAGAGGATCAATGACCACCATATTTAATTATTCGTGAATTATATTACATGTAAACTATAGGAAGCCTTGATTAGTTTATACACAATACACACCAATATTAATCAACACACATATTCGAGTACATTGTAAATTAGCACTACGTGTGCACCATGTACATCATTAGTTGATTGATCTCACTAGTTCAGGATCATAGTTTCCCTTTGGATTAGTTGCTGCTAGAATAGAACAACGAGTGTTTAACTTGCACACAAGGCCAGCCTGTAATAATCATAATAATAATAATAATAATAAATAATAATAACAATAACAATAATAATAACAAACAAGCCCATTCAAGATTGTCTATATCCATAATGCATAATTGGAAAGAAAGAGGTCTGAAATCATCACATCATACCTTTGCAACACTAATAGTTTGTTGCTCCATTGCTTCATGTATACAGAATCTGTCCCTATCATTAATACTATTAAACTCATCTGTAGTACAAAAATAGGAAAAGAGAGAACAAAAAGAAGTAAGAG